GGCACCTGCCCCCTGCTTCTCGTGCAGGTGCTGTATAAGTACCCCCCATCCATGTCACCAGTCTCTGAATGTCTTCTGAGTCACACACACAATGGAAGGCAAGGCTATTAACTTGCCATTGTTATGCAATGCATCTTAAAAGACATATCATCCACATCCCTCTTCCCCCAAGCAAAGATTGTAGGAGACATGCCCTGCACCCTGTTAGAGATACAGTTTAGCTGGGAACTCAGATCCTTGAGAATCGAACACCAAAAAAGTGTCAGATAAACTGGTTCGTGTTGAATTTCAATGCCTTTACTTTCTGACTTTATAAAATGTTTTCTCCCCAAGGAGTGGAGTGGTAGTAGAAATAAAGGATACTCTTTTTTACTAATAACTCTCCAACTTGTCTTTTCTCCCCATGTGTAGAGCAATTTGGTCTATGAACTTTCCTGTTTTTCTAGAAACCAAAGCTTCATAAGAGCAGCTACCTTGAAAAGTCCACAGCACCTTTCAAAAGCTGCCTCTCTGAACCTTTCCATGAAAAAAAAAAAAATCATTCGGTTTCACAAATTACTTGATTGAGACTCTGCATCTGACAAATTCACTCTTAATGTGGATTACAATATTCATGATCACATTCATGATTAGCATAACCTTTGCACACTATGCTTCATTTCAGTAGATGCATTTCTAAATAAAAGATGAATCACATTTTAAAAGAACTTACTGTATATGTACCAGAGTTCTTAAATGTGATTATGAGATACAGGCTTCTCATTATGAGTCTATGGTATAGTTAATTTATAATTATACCATAAATTTCCTTTTGTATAAAGCTATATTTTCCTCATATCTACACTTGTTAGAGCTACACTTTTCAGGAAGAGTAGTAAGACAAAGAAGCTAATTTCTTAGTGATTCACTTGATTAGCACTTTATTCAAAGACCTTTTGGGCCATAATTCTAAGAAAATAAAAAGAATCAAGCCCTGGTTCGTGAGCTCCGTTGGTTCTAGTGTCAGCCCGATATGCCAAGGTTCAAAGTTCACTGCTGGTCAGACCACAGACAGGAAGCATCTAATGGATGCATAAATAAGTGGAACAACAAATTGATGTGTCTGTCTCCTCTTTACTTTCTCTCTCCATAATCAATTTTTAAAAAAGAACTTAATATGAGTCAAGAAAAACAGACTTCTTTGGGTTATAAGGTTGAACATTCTTGGGCTTGTGGTTTTTAGGATAGTGTTTGACATGTAACAAAAATTTTTTAAAAATAAGGTGAATTTTTTTACAATAGGTAGTCATGAACTCAAAATAAACTGGTTTGCCATAAAGCTTAGGAATTCCACAGAATAAACAGAGCCATGTTATTTTCAAGATTCCATATTTTAGTTTCTTTTTGGTTATTCTTAGTTGGAATGTGTGTAAGTTCTCTGAGAGATTAAATTAATCGTTTATGTAATTGAGTACTTATAGTTAATAATTAATGTAACCATTTATTTTATTTTTAAAATAAAAAATATATCACACCCACTTCTGAAATGACATGAGGCAGTTTATATGGTTCAAAGGTACACTATCCTGTTTAAGTACTAAATAAAATCAACTCTAGAAAACATAAAGAAGTTGATGCTATCAAGGACCAGTCATGCTCTGCCTTTTTTGAAAGGCCCCACACTGCAGACGCTGCCTCCGCCCTGCGCTCTCCAGCGGAGGCTGTTCTTGAATGCCCCACTCAACAGCAGCTGGCCTCGTCCAGCAGAATCAGCAGGTCAGTGACTTGGGTAGAGTATGAACTTTGCATCCTAACTACCCAGGTTGGAATCGTGGCTGTGTACCTTGAGCAAGTTATTAAACATTTCAGAGCCTCAGTTTCCATACTGGAAAATGGGAATAATGATAGAACTTACCTCATAGATGAGAATTAAATGAGTTTAGTAAATATAAATCACTTAGAACAGAAGCTGGCATATAGTCAGTGCTAAATAATTATTAGCATTTGTCCATTCAAAATTCCTCCAATTTCCTATAAAAATCCTCCTCCCTTTGAAACTCGTGCCTCTCAAATTTCTATCCTCCATCCCTTCTTGTTGTTCTCACCACTCCCTAACATGTGCCAGAGATTTTGGAATGTGGCTTATGATTTTGTTTCCTCTATCCCAGATCTGCCATAATCCTGTTCTTTTCAATGTTCACATGGATGACCCTTCCGATATCCAACACGTTGGCTTCTTCAACGCCAATGACCTTCATCTCCACACAGATAGCAATAACTCATCCTTTTTTCCTTTGTTATTACCTGGAGCTCCTCCACCTGTGACACTTTCAACCACACTGCTGAACTTTCTTATTACAAGCTCCTGTTAGCCTCCTATTTCCAATTATTCCTGCTTATCCACCAGAACTGGACTGAGGTCCTACCTTTTCACTCCATGTATTAGACTTCTTTCTGGTTTTGCTTCCTTCTCCACTGTGCTTTGATTTAGTCCTGAAACCCATCTTTTTAAACAATACCTCCAACTTCTCACTCCTCCCGCTCCATTTTCATTCCGCAATACTTACCCCAACGTGGATTGGTCCAGTTTTCTTTGCCCCTAAAATCTCACTAAGTAAAATCACTCAACTACATACACTGAAGCCATGAACTCGTGGTGTCTGCCCTTAGCTGAGCCCTCAGCACCATCTGGCAGCCTCTTCTATGACTCCTTGCCAGCTCCAGTTTTTCTCACAAACTTCTTCCCCACTGTTCTCTCATCTCTCATATCCAGTCACCGAGTTCGACCAAAACCATTTCTTAAATGTCTTGAATCTAAAAGACCCTCTTCATTTTTCTTTGTTTCTCTTATCTCTAATCATTTCTTTTCTCTCCAGAATTTTTTCCTCTCTGCTGCCAAAGTGATCTATCTGAAGTTAAATACCATGATGCTCCATATATCTGTACTATCCAACAGTTTCTCCCTACTGCTCTCTGGTGCACACCTCATACCATCACTTGGCCCCAAGGCCCTCTGTGACCAGGCCTCTGTTCACCTCTCTATGTTTCTTTCTAGATGTGCCTAACCTGGACTCTACACACTCAATTACTGGTACTTCCTTGAGTGTGCCATATGTTCTCAGAACTCACGCATCTCCCGTGCTACCTCCTCTTCAAGGAATGCCCTTTATTCCCTTTTTCTTCCTGGATAATTTCTACTGGTCTTTTAGGGGTCAGTTCGAATGTCACTTCTTGTCAGCTCCAATGTAGAGCCTTCCCTGACCCTTCTTCCCTGACCTTTTCCTGATCCTTTCCCTTCCTAACCAGGCTGGCTGAGTGTCTCTCTCTGTCCTGCTTTGTGAGTATTTAAGTATTTACCATTGCTCCCCAGTAACTGGCACCAGTAAATGGTTAGTGAATTAATGAATAAATGAAGACATCCCATTTCCATAAAATAATGATAACAATTATAATAACATTTCATTTTATATGTCCATTTAGAATAGAGATGTTTAAAACTGAGGCAGAACTAGTTTCGATAAGGTCAGTATGACAGAGTACCTGGGCACTCCAATTAGCTGGCTGGTGGCTCAAGCTCTCAAGTAACTGGCTAAGTAAAAAGCAAGGATGTGATTGGCAGTCGCCACTTACTGAGAAACACTGGGGCCCAGCAGTACCTTAGGCACCCATGGTTGTCTTCTAGCTCCCGTCCTGGCAACAGGAGGACTTCAGCAGCTCTAGGCATTACATCCCCATGTGTCAACACTTAGGAGTCACAGAAAGATCCACTTCTCCCTTGTGTTTCTTTGATAAAGAGGCAACCCCCCCCCCAAAAAAACAAATCCTTTCCCAGAACCCTCGCGGTACCTCCACCATAAGAACATTTCCCTCCAATCTCAATGACTAAGCCAGGTTATATTCCAATCCCCTAAACTGGTCACACAAGCAGGCCCGGGAAATGGAGGCATTATCCTGGCTCAGGATTTACCTGAGTCACCTGAGGGAACTGGACACTAAAACAAAATTGCGCTCTAATTAAGGATGAGAGGGAAATGGCTGTTGGGAAGGCAACTAGCTGTCCTCACTAAAACGAATGTCACCGTTGAATACATGCCAGATCTGGAGTCAGGCACATCCTCGTTTGAGTCCCATGTCCACCCAGTCGGTGCATGTGTGACCTGAGGAAATGCCCTTCTTCTCCCTGAGAAACAGTTTCCTCTCCTATAAAATGGGGATACCACTGCCCAGCTTTTAGCATTACTGTGAAGATCGAATGAAATAGCATACGTAATGTTGCCTACCACAGTGAACTTCATTCCTTCATTTAAAAATATTTTTTGACACCTATGATGTGCTAGGTATTGTGCTGGGGATATAGCGGTAAATAAGATAGATATGCTCCTTCCCTGCATATAACTTATTAGCATTAAACGTCAGTTTTAAAAAGTTTCCTAATTTTGCTGACTAAAAAATCCAGAAGCACTGTGATTACTTTGACAATCACATCTTAAAGAAACTCATTTTCAGGAGTGCTTTTAACTCCTGAAGTTTTATGTTTAATGTGTGAAGGTTTAGAAAGACTTTTTCCTTTTTTTTCTGTTTAAATTATCAAAGACATTTACATTTTATGAGTATACTTCCACTGTGAGTGTTATCCTGATTCCTAGACCAAAGATAATTGGCAAGTACAATAACTTTAAAAGTGACCAGCTGAGACAATATCCAATACAATCTCATAACCCTGAGGAAAAAATCCAAATGCAATAACAAGGCGTCGACCCATCTGAGTAGTTATGTACTTGGTCTAATGTCAAGACAGATCCGGTTCATGGCGAGGGTTGTTCTTCACATAACAGGAACAGCGAGGTAATTAGTGTGACCCATTCCTCAACCATGACTAACAACAGTTTTCCTCTTTTAATCAAATGAGAATACAGTGAAGCAGGCTTGTCAAAACCAGTCTCTCCAAGAAACACCAATATCACATATGCTTAAAAGTATAACTAAGACAATATTGTAGCAGACTGAGGAGTCTCTCTTACCTTAACCTTTTCTTTGGGATACAGGAAGAAAAATGGTTTTAAAACAGGAGACCTAGAATACGATAAAAAAAAAAAAAAAGGACAATAAACACCAGGTTTACAACTCTGAGGGGTCAGAAAAATGAGGTGGAGTTTCCAGACCTCTGCTCACTACTTATGCCTGACCCACCTCTACCTGGTGTTCTCAGTGACCATATACACCAATCTACTTGTTATTTGTGTTTGTTCCCTTTGGGCCTACCAAGGAGCACTCAGATTTCTTCATCAGAAAATGTCTTTATATATATGAAACCAAGCATTAGCGGGTCATTAAAAGTTGAATATAAAAGTTGAATATAAAAGTTGTTTTTCTAGTACAACTTCTGGATTTTCACCAATACATTCCTTCATCCAGTCTCCCGTGATACCAAGTAACAATCTCTAAGAAGTCTGGATAGAGCTGGGGCATAATTTCTAGACATGGACAGAGATAAATGGCCTTCAGTAGGATTAATATTTAAATTTAACCTAAATAACAAATATAAAGGTCAGAAGGAAATCTACTTACCTAACATGGACAGACAACAAAGTATAACAAAACCCCACAAAAGTTATAAATAAGAATACAGACACAGAGAAAGTATTGAATATTTGTGGACCAAATTGACCAAGAGTTGAAACTAGAGACAAAGTATGTTATTATTCAATTGCCTGGTGTGTAAGATGACGTTTATGGGACCAAATATCTTGGGATCTTTAAACATTTTTAAACCTTTTTACAGTGAAATATAACACTTACAGAGAAAAGGTCAAGGAGCAAACACATGCTAGCCCAGCAGCCATGTGATCACCACCACCGTCAAGAAGCAGAGGGCTGGCCGCGGAGGAGAAGGCCCCCCTCTTATCACTACCACCCCCGACAAAGGTGAGTCACTCCCCTGACTTGGATGAAAAGCATTTCCTTTCTTTTCTTTATAGTTCTTTCCTCTAACCCTGCATCCCCAAACAAGAGTTTATTTTTGCCTGTTTTTTTTTTTTGATTTTGTATAAACAGAATTGCATACATATTCTTTGGTTCCTGGCTTCATTGCATGTTATGTTTGTGAGATTCATGCATGCTTTTGAATGTAGCCATAAATCATTTGGCTAAATATGGTAAATTTTCCTGACTGTACAGTATTCTGTTGAAATCATATACAATGATTTATTTGTCCATTCTATTCTTAGATGTTTTAAAAAGTCAAAGAAGTTTTAATCTCTTTTTCTAACTATATAGACTCTCACTATGGTGAAGATGTGGACTGGCTTTTGAATTTATTAAGTTGCTTCATTTAAGGGAGAGAAACAAAAAAAGTGTCTTGGATTCAGTGTGCTTCAGAAAAGGAGTAACTGGAAAGGGTTGATTCCACTTGGGCTGGCAGAGAGGGGAGGTGGGATGAAAATTGACTTTTTAAAATGTGTGTAGATGAATTAAATTACTTATGAATTGCATTTCAAGATAGTAAATGGGGCAATACAAATTATATGTGTTATAGAGGGGTACCTTGGGTCTGACAGTATTAAGAATTTTGCCCTGGGTAAGTTCTCATATACACCTAAAGAGACAAAGAAATGTAGTAATTTTGGAGTAATCACTCACTACATTAATTAAAATCAAACAAAATTAGAAATTAAGTCCCTCAGTCACACTGGTTACATTCCAAGTGCTTAGTAGCCCATGTGGCTGGTGACTGCAGTCATCATTTTTGACAGTGCAGAAAGTTCTACTGGACAGCACTGGCACAGAAAGTTAAGGCAACAGTATTTTTAATATCAAAAACCTGGAAACAACCAATATGTCCATTAACAGGAAAATGGGTAAGTACATGGAATGCTATACAGCAGTGATAACAAATAGTTACATGTATGAACACATGAATCTCACAAATAATAACATGGAGGGGCAAAAGACCTCTATTTCAACACCATTTAAACATAGGAATACTAAGTGTGATTTAGGGATCCATGTGTAGCGAAAGTATTTTAAAAATGCATAGGAATGATAAACACCAAATTCAGGATAGTAGTTACCTCTGGCAGTGAGCCAGGAGATGCAGTTGAAGGGGGGGAAATGAGGCCTGCCTGCACAGGTTTTGTTTTATTTCTTTCTTTTCTTAAGGGTTTTATTTACTTATTTTTTAATAAATAAATAAATAGAGGGAAAGGGAGAGAGAAAGGGGAAGAAACACTGCTGTGTGAGAGAAATATAAATTGGTTGCCTCGCCCATGCTCCCAAGCAGGGACCTGGCCCCACAACCCAGGCATGTGCCCTGATGGAGAATCGAACCTGACCCTTGCTTCATGGGATGGATCCAACTAACTCAGCCACACCAGTCAGGGCTTGTTTTATTTATTTCTTCACAAATAAGTGGGCATACAAAAATTTGTTATTCTTTACATGTTTGAATATAAAGAATGTACATCATTTTAACTTTTGTAGATATTAAATATTTCACAATAAATTTTAAATGGAGGGAGTTTCATGAGCTTCTAAGAGCATAGAGCCATGTTTTGCTCATTATGCTTAGTGCCCAACAAAGTGCCAGGCACAGTGTAGATGTGCAATTAATGTTTGTTGAATAGTCAAACAAACATACTAAATGAAAGTCCGTATTATACTACAGTTTTGACCCTTAGACAGAAATAGATGCTTCTACCTTACCATAGTAAAGTATCCAGGAACATACACAAACAACATTTTAATCATGTGTTCGTTTTACAAATATGTGTTATATCTCTATAATGATATTAGATATATTTATATAATTAGATGTATTATACATATATTAATATGTAAATATATCTGTAAAATTACATATTAGATATCTAATATCTATGGCAGGCACCCTTCCAGCATTAAGGGTATAATAGTGAACATAAAGAAACAAAATTTCCTGCCCCCAAGAGTGTATGGGGGGGTAGGAGAATATCAATAATAAAGAATGTAAATTAATAAAATAGGTCAGATGGCAATAAGTGTCCTCAAGAAAAACAAAGCCGAGTAGGAGACCAGGAAGTGTGAAGGATCTTCGGCGATATTAAATAGGGTAGTGAGGTTGTTCTTCTTGAGAAGGGGACTTAGGGCCAAGACCTGAGTGAGGGAGGGAGCCATGAGCATTTGAGTCAGAATGAGGAGAGAATGCAAAGGCCCTGAGGCAGCCGGGAAGGGAGGTCAGAGCACGGCCTGGGAGCGAGCACCTGGGAGAAGGTCGGGACGAGAGCAGAGACTGGAAAGAGCCTGCTGGACCATCTTCAGGACTTTGACATCTATTCCAGGCGAGACTATAGATTTCAAATGAAGGACTGATGTCATCCTGCCTACATGTTTAAAGGGTAACACTATTTTGAGAGCAGATTACAGTGGGGACCTGGGAGACTAGTTAGGAGATTATTGCAGTAATTCAGGCCAGAGGGGATGGTGGCTGGAACCAGGGTGGCAACAGTGAATGTGACATATTTTGAAGATGCAGGCATGGAACTCTGGCCAATGGACTGTATACACAGCATGAGGAAAGGGAGCAGTCAGGGATGACATGAAGGTTTTTGGCTTGAAGTTGCCATTTACTGAGAAGAGGGGGAACTGGCTTGAGTTTGGGGCATGTTAGGCTTGAGATGTTTACTAGGCATCCAAATGGGAGTTGTTAAATAGACAGACAGTATATGAGCTTGAGGGCCAAGGGGGACAGAGGAGGTAGAGGAATACATTTGAGAGCAACTGGCACATAGGTGGTCTTTAAAGGTAAAGCTAAAATGAGCTCACCAGGGGTGTAAGAGTAGCCAGAAAAGAAGAGAGGTCCAAGGACCACGTCTTGAGGCACTGCAATGTTTAGAAGTCAGAGAGGAGGAGGAGGAAGATCCAGCAAAGGAGATGGAAGAGTATCAGACAATGAGGTAGGAGACATCTGGAAAAAGCTAGTGCCTTGGAAGCCAAGTTAAGAAAATATTTAAAGGAGGAGAATTGTGACCGATAATGCCGGATTATGCTCAGGGTGCAAGTAAGGTGATGACAACAACAGACCTTTGCATTGAACAAAATAAAGGGATAGGAGGCCTTGACAAGGGCAGTTCTGAGGGACCACTGGGGGTGAAGCCCTTCGTGTTGCAGAAGGTTCAGGAGACAACGGAGAAAGAATAAATAGCACCCAAGATTCTTTTGAAGCTCTTTTTCTGCCTTATCAGACTTTTAGACATTAGGGGAATTGGGCACTCTTGATTAAACTGACACCAATACATTCTGGGATCCAGTAATCTTAACATGTCATATCTTATCTCATCTCGAAAGAACAGAACACAAAGCAGCTAGAGAATTCCAAAGCACAAGTGTTCAGAACTACCACGAGAAATTCAACCACAGAGTCTGGTAGAAGTACTAACCTAAATGAGGTGGCCACCTTGTTCTAACATTGTTAGGCGAAGCTAAGGAAGTCTCCTTTATTTGTCAATAAATCAAATTCCCCCCACTGTAAATTAGTGGTTGGAAAAATAGGTTAGCTCAGCCTTATTATCTTTTTCTTAAGAAAAGCTATTTATCTCATTAGAACTTTAAACCCAGGGGACCAATTCGCCTTTCTGAGTCATATAGGATTAGTACAGGTGATTTGAAGATAAGGCCAGTTTACTGTTCCGGAGTCACGGAGTCACGGTAGGTTCCCATGAGTCTCAGGAGAGGTAATGAACACTATGTGCCCGGATGACAGGCCTTGAGTCTCTGGTCTTGCCCTCCTCTCACCCTTACCCAGAAAGCTATGGGAGGGGAACAATAGATAAAAACTGACTTTAGCATATTGTCAGTGAACTTACACTTTTGGACGACCTCCAACCACTCCCATCAGACCAGGTGCTAAAGAGGGAAAAAAAATTAAAACAATGTCCTTCTTACAATATAAGGGTTTGCTACATTATTTAACCTCAGTGTGGTCCATTATAACAAGGGACTGATTATCTAACATAGAATGCTATTAAGCTCTCCAGAAAATGCAAGTTAAAACAATGTCAAGGATTCATAATTAGAAATCAGTAAATGGAGGAATAATTTGACAATTAAAAATTCTTATGGAATAGAGTCAAGTTAATATTACAACTGACAAAGCTGAAAGAAATAAGGCAAAGGATTTTCATCAGATTAATTGAATCATATTGTATTCATCGGATACATTCTTCTATTTTAAATATTCAATTTGTAAAATTAAATACTTTAATAGCCAACAGAAACAAACTCCATTGCAGAAAATCCTGTGTGTGTGTGTGTGTGTATGTGTGTATGTGGTTTTTAAAAAATATTTACTTATTTTTTAGAGAGAGGGAATGGGAGGGAGAAAGAGAGGGCAATATTTATGCAAGAGGGAAACATCAATGGGTTGCAAACCGGGGGTACCGAACCCACAATGCAGGCACGTGTCCTGACGGGGCATCTAACCAACACTCTTTCACCTTTTGGGATAATGCCCAACCAACTGAGCCACATTGGTCAGGGCTGGTTGTGTTTTTTGATGGCGACATCTTCTCCTTGCTCCAAAACCAACATATAATCAGAAATTTTTAGCCTTTTTAAACAGAACCTTTAAACTTGGGCTATAGAGAAGGAAAAAAAGAAAACTAACTTTTCTTTCTCTCTGTCCACATACACCACCTAGTGGATCTATAGTTTAATTAAAAACAAGAATGAGAAAAGACTTCTATGATCTAATAACTCAAATTATAGACATTCATTAAAAAATAATACTTTATAAAAATATGGCAAAGAAAGTATTATAAGAAAACAGTAAGGGTTTGGCATATAAGAGTATCTTGTCTGTACATTAAGTATAATGTTTTCTGGCTATTTAGGTAGTTGACATATCTCATAAAAGGTAAGGAAGGAATCAAGAAACTACACTGGGAAATAATCACAAAGTTAAGTTACTCAGATGAAAGAAGATAAACTTTCATTTATAATATACAATTCTTTTATGCAAGTATATAATATTTAGGTATGTTTCACATTATATTAAGAGTACAACCAGCATTGAATATTTATGTCTATTTCACTTTATACTATATCCTCATAGTATTCTAATTTAATACTATAAATTGTAGCAGCTTAGAAATCAATTAATCTAGCTTTCTACTTAACAGATGAGAGAACTGAAGCTCAGAGAAGTTAAGTGATTTGCTAAAAACCACAGATAGGCAGTTGTATGATCAGAACTCAGATCCCTTGGATCTTAACAGAATGTTTTTTCCCACTACCCCTCCTGATAAAGTAAAAAGTCATACTCAGAGCAGACACTAAGTATAATCCACACAAATAAATATGGAATTGCATCCTTTTATGAGAGACTAATAAGGGCACATAATTTAGACTGGAGAAGTTTTCTCAGTGGAAGTCACTGATAAAAGAAATGAGGAAGTGAAAGAAATAAGCATTTCAGACAGCAGGAAAAAACGAAGGTGCACATACGTCCTCACGGTCAAGGTGAAAAGGAGATGGCACGTTAGCGGGGATTAAAAGCTGGGCGGCATGCAGAAACAAGAAAGAAGACCTGACAGGCTCTCTGGGGTGCTAGACAAAAGCTGGCCCTAGTGGGCACGTAGCCCCGGACTGGGTTTTCTCCCTAATGCTCAGAAGGATGCTAAGCAGAGAAGCCATGTACCCATATTTTGACTCTTTAAAAACACTGTTTAGTTTTTTTTTTTCCTCAAACGCGTAAACTATGGTATTAAGTCTGACAGAGGGGACAGACATTAAGAATCCTCTTTCTCTCACTCCTGTCCTACAACCACTCAACTTTTGGTCCCAGACCTTATCTTTTCTTTCTTCTTAACAAAAATTGTAGAATACACATTGCTCTGCATTTTGCTTTACTCTCCTAACTATCTTGGAGCATTGTTCATATCAGCTCACAAAAGCTACAGAGTATTCAATTGCCCAGATATACCTGTAAAGTACCTGCAGGATGAATTCCCAGAAATAAAAAGGTAAGTCACAAAGGCTCCACATAATTTTAATTTTGATAGATATTACCAAATTGCTCCCCAAAGTGAGTGAACTAATTTATGCTCCTACCAGCAATGTATGAGCGCCTATTATCCTTTAACCCTTACAAACACAACATATTGTCAAAACTCTTGAAAGTTGACAATCGGGTAAGTGGAAAATGGCATTTCATTGCAGTGTGCCCCTTCTTTTTTTTTTTTTTTTTTTTTTTTAATTAATTTATTTACTTTTTAAATACATTTGTCTCTGCCTCCCCCCCCCCTTTCCCTTGCCCCCTCCCACCTTCCCTCCCTCAGCTCTTCCCCTTTGGTTTTGTCCATGAGTCCTTGCTATATGTTCCTTGACTTTCCCCTTCCCTTCCCTTTCCCTGCCCCCCCTTCCCTCTTGTCTCTGTTGATTTCTTTTCCTTTCAGTGTTGCTGGTCATATTTGCCTTGCTTCTTTGCATTGTTGGTTAGGTTCCGCTTATAGGTGAGATCATATGGTATTTGTCTTTCGCCCCCTGGCTTATTTCGCTTAGCATGATGCTCTCCAGTTCCATCCATGCTGTTGCGAAGTTTAGTACTTCTTTTTTCTTTCTGCTGCGTAGTATTCCATTGTGTATATGTACCATAATTTTTTGATCCAATCATCTACTGATGGGCATTTAGGTTGCTTCCAAGACTTGGCTATTGTAAATTGTGCTGCTATGAACATTGGGGTGCATAGGTTCTTTTGTATTGGCGTTTTGGTGTTCTCAGGGTATAGTCCCAGCAGGGGAATCGCTGGATCAAAAGGCAGTTCCATTTTCAGCTTTTTGAGGAAATTCCACACTGCTTTCCATAGTGGCTGCACCAGTCTGCATTCCCACCAACAGTGGACTAGAGTTCCCTTTTCTCCACAGCCTCGCCAGCACCTGTTGTTTGTGGATCTGTTTATGATGGCCATTCTGACCGGTGTGAGGTGGTACCTCATGGTGGTTTTGATCTGCATTTCTCTAATGGCTAGTGATGCAGAGCATCCTTTCAAATGCCTCTGGGCCCTCTGTATCTCCTCCTTAGAAAAGCATCTGCCCAGGTCCTTTGCCCATTTTTTGATTGGATCGTTTGTCTTCTTGGAGTAAAGTCGAGTGAGTTCTTTGTATATCTTGGAGATCAAACCTCTATCTGATGTATCATTAGCAAATATATTTTCCCAAATGGTTGGCTCCCTTTTCATTTTGCTGATGTTTTCTTTCGCCGTGCAGAAGCTTCTTATTTTGATGAGGTCCCACTTGTTTATTCTTTCCTTTATGTCCCTTGCTTTAGGAGACATATCAGTGAAAAAATTGCTGCGTGGGATATCTGAGAGTTTCCTGCCAATGTTCTCCTCTAGGACTTTGATGGTGTTGCGACTTATATTTAAGTCTTTTATCCATCTTGAGTTTATTTTTGTGTATGGTGTCAGCTGATGATCCAATTTCAATTTTTTGCATGTAGCCATCCAGCTCTCCCAACACCATTTGTTGAAGAGGCTGTTATTGCTCCATTTTATGCTTCTGCCCCCTTTGTCAAATATTAGATGTCCATAGAGACCTGGGCTTATTTCTGGGCTTTCTATTCTGTTCCACTGGTCTATGGGTCTGTTCTTGTGCCAGTACCAGATTGTTTTGAGTATAGTGGCTTTGTAGTAGAGTTTGATGTCCGGTATTGTGATCCCTCCTACTTTGTGTTTCTTTCTCAAAATTGCTGCAGCTATTCGAGGTCATTTATGATTCCATATAAATTTTTGAAATGTCTGTTCTATTTCTGTGAAATACGTCATTGGTATCTTAATAGGGATTGCGTTGAATCTATAGATTGCTTTTGGTAGTATGGACATTTTAAGGATATTAATTCTTCCAATCCATGTGCACGGTATATGCTTCCATTTATTTGTGTCTTCCTTAATTTCTTTTTTCAATGTTGTATAGTTTTCTGCATACAGGTCTTTTGTGTCTTTGGTTAAATTTATCCCTAGGTACTTTATCTTTTTTCGTGCTATATCGAATGGTATATTTTTCCTGATTTCTTCTTCTTCTATTGCATTGCTGGTGTACAAAAACGCCTTTGATTTCTGAATGTTGACTTTGTATCCTGCTGTTTTGCCAAATTCACTTATTAGGTTGAGGAGTTTTTTGGTAGAGTCTACAGCGTTCTCTATGTACACTATCATGTCATCTGCAAACAATGATAGTTTTACTTCCTCCTTTCCTATTTGGATGCCTTTTATCTCTTTCTCTTGTCTGACCGCTGTGGCTAGGACTTCCAATACGATGTTGAAAAGAAGCGGTGAGAGCGGACATCCTTGTCGTGTTCCCGATCTTAGTGGGAAAGCTTTCAGTTTTTGCCCGTTGAGTATGATATTGGCTGTAGGTTTTTCATATATGGCCTTTATTACGTTGAGGAATGCCCCATTGATTCCCATTTTGCTGAGTGTTTTGATCATAAATGGGTGCTGTACCTTGTCAAATGCTTTTTCTGCATCTATCGAGATGATCATGTGGTTTTTGTCTTTTCTTTGATTTATGTGGTGTATCACGTTTACTGATTTGCGTATATTGAACCATCCCTGCATCCCTGGGATGAATCCCACTTGATCGTGATGGATAATCTTTTGAATGTATTGCTGGATGCGGTTTGCCAATATTTTGTTGAGGATTTTAGCATCTATGTTCATCAGCGAAATTGGCCTGTAGTTTTCTTTCTTTGTAGGGTCTTTATCTGGTTTTGGGATCAGGGTGATGCTGGCCTCATAGAAGGAGTCTGGCAGTCTTCCCTCCTCTTGGATTTTTTGGAATAGTCTGAGAAGGACAGGGGTTAGCTCTTCCTTAAATGTTTTGTAAAATTCTCCTGGGAAACGGTCTGG